ATCCTTGATCCAATACTAGATTTATAAATATAAGTGCTACACCCGCCCTGGGGCAGATAGTTTGCATACAGTGTAAGGGAGGGAAAGATCCTACTCTCTGCCACTCCCTCCCTTTTGCTCTTGCTGTCTTCTACCATGTGCCACTCTGCCTTGGAGCCAGCTGATTATAGACTGAAACTTCCACAGACTGTAAGCTAAATAAACCTTCCCTTCCTTAATTTTGAGTGTCAGATATTTTGTCTCAGCAACAAGAGAAAAGTAACCAAGACAGGTAAGAAATTCTAAAAGTTCACTATTATTTAAAACAGCAAATATACTGAGCATACTGATATATGCCTGTAATCCCAGTACTCAAGAAGGCTGAGGTAAGAGGATCATCATGAGTTTGAGGACAGTCTGGTCTACATAGTGAGTCCAAGGCCAGCCTGAACTATGTAGTGAGACATTGTCTCAAAAAGCTAAATAATTAAAGCCAAAGATGTTGGCTGGTAGTTGGCAGGAAGTTATTTCTTATTTTGCTTTCTTTGGTTTTTTGTTTGAATTGCATATTACATAATTATACCAATATGTGTAACGCATTAAGTGTCACATGTTTTAAAAAGACTTCAAGAGTTCTAAAAAAAAATTCTACACTATCATTCATATTTCATGGTGAGAAAATTGAGGACTACAGACATCAAGTAATTTTTCCAATTCACACATCTAGGACTTTGGAATGTGCACCCAAACAATTTGAGTCAAAGCATCTAACCTCTGTAAGAGCTGATGAAATGCTCACCCCCATCTCCTTTCTCTCATCTCTGTGTTTTTATATGCATTAAATAAGAAAACAAAAAGTAATCTCCCAATACATTAGCATTTAGTAGGCAACCACTCAATAGTAGTTCATTTAATAATACATTTACTTTAGAAATATGCCCTAAAGGTTTAGATGTTTAAATTCTGCTTCTTCATCAAATTCTCTTAGTGCGTTTGCAAAATCCCCACAGAGTTAACTTTGTCTGACTAGTAGCTCAGGGAAGCTGTGTCGGTGATTGCAAATCACATGCACTCATCCTATATAACTCAGACACGATACAGCCAATGTCACAGCTGCCAGGCCCAGCTGTTCTCTTCGCTGCAGTTCTCCCCAGTCCTTGAAAGTGGAATATTCCATCAGAAGCTAACAAGACGACACTTGCACCAAAAAAGTGTGCTGCAAAGGCAACGGGAAGTGCTGGCCACACTTTCAGGCCAAGTTTTGTTGTAGAAGTGTCCTGAAAAACCATGGCCTGCAGAAGCCATGGATGGCAGCTTCCGTCCCTTCTGTTTACCACTGCAGTCTGAAAAGGTGCAAGTAACGTTGCTACTCTGCTTTCTCCTCTGAGATTCTGCTTCAGTACTTGAAGTTAACAAATCTTCGGTTAACTGCAAACCCAGGTCCTAGAAAAATCTTGCTGCAGAATCGTATGTTTTGACATATTGCAAAAATATAAGCACAAAGGTGTGATTTTTGCAAAAATCTTGATAGTACCTCTTATCAGAAATACATACCAAATACATGTGCTGGACTTATCACCAAAACTGAATGGGGCCCAAAGGGATTTCCAGGGTTCTGACCTTCCTTATTCAAAAATAAAAGTAAATCATATTATTTGACTTGTTCAACTTCAAACTTCAACAACTGGAAGATACCAAAACTATAGGGTTGACAAACCAGCTACTTTTGGAGGTGCTGAGAGCATCAGAAACCACTTGGTGAGTTTTGAAAATATTTTAGCTTTATTTAAATACTTAATCACCTGTCCCCACTTTCTGGAAATGTGTGCTGTTTGTGCACCATGTTCTTAACATGAACCAAATTTCTACTGCAGTTAGACCCAGTTCATTTTCAAAGTATTTTCCCATGGTTTCATAGAAATAGAAAAAATGCTAGTGGGAGGTTAATTAACAATGTATATCCATATCCTTTGAGGAAGAAACAGAAGTCTTCATTTCCGGGCGAGTTTTCAATCTGCACACCCTTTCCTCTCTATGCAGTTGAAATTTTTCATATTGAACTTAAAATAAACCTGGCCTTCATTTTTGGTCAGTTCAACTTCCAATTTCACAGGCATGAAAACAGATGTAAATTATTACACACTTAAAATAATTGTTTTGGAGCCAAAGCTTTAAGTGAATGCTTTAAGAGAAATTTCTAAATTATAAGATTATTTCACATTTGTAGTAAAATGGATGCACCTTGGCACTATAATATTAAGTGAAAAAAATCAGACACACAAGCTTAAACATTACATGGCTTCTCTTCTATGAGAAACCCAAAGATATATAAACTAAAGACCAAAATAAAAGATAGGTCATAGTAAACAGGGAGGTAGAGATTTTGCAGAAAAGGGAAGGGAACCAGGAGATGGAGAAAGGAGGGAGAACTGGAAGGAAAAAATATTGAGATGTGTTATGTGATGTACCAACTCCCCATAATGAATGCAACAATTATATACTGCAAACCCATGATATTAAAGAAAGTTAAATTAAGGTAGCTACATTAAGATGCTACTATATTAAGATGTTAATATTAAGCAAGGCATTAGACCTACTAAATTTTTATTCAAAGACTTCTGCTCCCAAAATATCTTCTTTGACACAATTGTCAGTCTTTCCTCTTGATAGCAAAAACAGCCATTATCTGCAGAAGACTAGGCTTACTGAGCTATAGGAAATATTTGAGAAGAGAAAGAGATGAGGGAAGAATGCACATTGGTTATACAGATTAGTGGGCTTTATTTTGGCAGACTTGTATGTGTACATAACGTACTTCCATCATTTTTGCCCCCACTCTTGGCCTGCCCTACCCCACTAGTTGCTTGGGGGAAGTTCAATGTGCATATTATGTTTTAATCTTACCCATTCGCCCTATCACTTGCCCTTACACTGCCTTCACCCTCTCCCTTATTCCCTTCCTCTTTTCTAGTAAGTCTCCCTTCTACTTTCTGGTCATCTGTTTTAGATTTCACATATTAGCGAGAACAAGCAGTATTTGTCTCAGTCATGCTTATTTTGTTCAACATGATCTCTAGATACACTCTTTTAACAAGCTGTGCTGTGGGGAGTTGGTTTATTTGTCTGACTGAGAGCCTGATCTTGATGAAGCACCACTATTGATCCATGATAGGAAGGACCTTGCATAGAATGATGAGACCCAAGAAGCCAAGGGACACAGCCTCCTCGGGTGGACCACCTAGAAGGCTGTGCTCCAAAGCAGAGGCACAAGAAAGCAAGCCAGAAAAGAGAGGCTCCCCATAGATCAAACCCCCAACCTGGTTCTGGACACCTTGGGGAGGAAGAGGGAGGTCACTAAGCCACATTCTACTTAACTCCCCACTGTGCTGATCACCACAAAAGTCCAGATGAAAGGGGAGGCAGAGTGTATAAAGCCTGGATGAGGGATCAGGAGACCTGAGCTGCAGATCCTGCTGTGACTCCAATTCTGCGATTCTGTGTAATCTTGAGCTAGTTTGCTTCACCTCTCTGTGCCTTATATTCTCTATTTGTAAAATTTCATAATCCTCTCGACACTTCAACGACTAAAAATCTGTGAGTGTATATAATGCATACAGTTGATATAAAAAAGAATAGTTACATTTGAGCCATAGATAGGATAATCTTAAGAAAATAAAATAATTTCTTTTGATTTACTTGTAAATCAGTAAGTCAGGAACAGGAATTTGGAAAACACTAGAGATGATCTATTCAAGACAGTGATGCTATTAGGCCTGGACTTGGCTTCAGTGTAAAAATGAGCAAGGCTGGCTTCCGATGAGAACTAAGGGACAGACAAGCCTCCTTTCCTTCTTCCAGACCTCCTGAGGCTCCAGGGTTTATCCAGCCTCCTCTGAGAACTGTTCAAAAAATATCATAGCACATTGTCATTTATGTCGCAGCTTGGTGAAACTCTGCCGCTCTCTGAAAGCTAGATCAGTCTCAGGATTCTGTGACAAAACAACAGGAAGCAAGAAATTTGGCTTCACGAAAAGTGCAATCAACTGGACCGTAAAGAAAACTTTGTCTTTGAAGTCCAGATTTTCAGGTCCTTGGACCTAATTATTCAAAGTAAGAACCTTAATGTATTCTGTAAAAATATGTAACAAATTTAAGCGTTGGTAAGTTACTATGATATGGAAGAATTTTATTTAGTGACTTCCTCTCCCTCTTCAAGATGGTTTTATATCTCTTAGTGAATCAAGATTCTCTATTGCATTATTCCAAACTGTATGTTTAACACCTGCTATGCATCCAGCATAATTTAAAATGCTGAATGGAAATTTTTAAATAAAATTCAAGGCTGGGGGTTTGGCTCAGTGGTATAGCATTTACCTGGCCTGCAAGAGACCCTGGATTCAATACTCAGCACCAAAAAAACAAAGAAGGAAGAAAGGAAAGGAAAGGAAAGGAAAGGAAAGGAAAGGAAAGGAAAGGAAAGGAA